CTTGGGCCCTGCACCCCATGGGAGACCAGGAGAAGCACCTGGCTCCTGCCATCGGATCAGCGCGGTGTGCCGGCCGCAGCGCGCCAGCCACGGCGGCCATTGGAGGGTGAACCAACAGCAAAGGAAGACCTTTCTTTCTGTCTCTCTCTCTCTCTCACTGTCCACTCTGCCTGTCAAAATAAATAAATAAATAAATAAATAAAGAATGCCATGCCACTAATCTACATTCAACAGATTATCAAAGTGACTAGACAGGATCAAGAATCAAAACTGTTACTAAGCAAATCAGTTTATATTATCTTCAACTCATTAGTACATTTTTGTATAAAACTTTCAGGAAATTGTAATTCAGTAGTATCATTAAAACAACACTAATCTGTGTTTTTACTAGTGATTTCACAAAAAGCTTTTTAGTATATGATTTGCTGAAGCAAGCACTCACAAGATGATTTTTAAAAATTTTATTTATTTATTAGAAAGAGAAAGGGTGAGCCAACACTGTGGCATGGCAGGTAAAGCCTACACCTGTGGCTCCAGTATCCCATATGGGTGCTGGTTCGAGTCCCAGCCACTCCACTCCCAATCCACCTCCCTGCAAATGTACCTGGGGAAGCCATGGAAGATGTCCCAAGTCTTTGGGCCCCTGCACCCACTTGGGAGACCTGAAAGAAGCTCTTGGCTCCTAGCTTTGAACTTTGCCCAGCTCTGGCCATTGCAGCCATTTGAAGAGTGTACCAGTGGCTGGAAGATCTCTCTCTCTGCCTATTTCTCTCTCTCTTTCTCTCTCTCTCTCTCTCTCTCTCTCTCTCTCTCTCTCTCTCTTTCTCTGTAACTCTGACTTTCAAATAATTAAATACATATGTAAAAAAATTAGAAAGTGTGTGTGGGAGGGGTTTATTCCATTCACTGGTTCATTCCCCAAATGCCAGCAGCTGCTTCCATTGAACAGTACTCCAGTATGGAAAGTGGACATCTCGAGAAGAGTTTAACCCACTATCCCACCAGTGTTGCCCCTCACAAAAAGCTTTATGAAATATCTTGCTGACATCACGATAGCGTGTTCCTGTGTTGGTCAGTCTCTTGATTTATTATCCTAATAAACCTTTCAAACAAACAATAAACTAAGAAAGTTTTAATGAAGCTATAGATTTAAAATTTTCAAAACAATTTCATATGTCCTTATTTTACAAAATATAAAATTAAATATGAGTAAAGATAATAAGGATAGCTAACATTTACTGTGTTTTTACTTTCTGTAGGATATACATGTTATTTATCTATAGCATTTAAAAGTAATTTTTTTTCTAAATGACTTTAATTTTATGATTATTATTATGCCCATTATTTTCAGATACACTTTTCAAGGTGATCATTTGAACTTGGTAACTTTTTATTGTATGGGGGCCAGCTGTGCAGCTGGTTAAGCTGCTGATTGTGACTCTGGCATCACATGTCAGAGCATCCATTGGAGTCCTGGCTGCCCCACTTCCCATCCAGCTCCTTGCTCTCGTGCCTGGGAAGGCAGCAGGTGGCAGCCTAAGTACTTGGACCTCTGCCACCCATGTGGCAGAATCCAGATGGAGTTCTGGCTCCTGGCTTCAGTCTGGCCCAGCCCTAGTTGTTGTGGCTATTTGGGGAATGAAGGCACCAGTAAATAGAAGATCTCTTTTGTTCTTTATCACTCTACTTTTTAAAGAAATAAAATTAATCTTGTAAGAGGAAAAACTGTTGGAATTAAAAAACATTTTATTATATGAAGAACTTCATTATTTTGCCTTGGCTTAAAAGATTTGTAGGAATTCGACATTTTTTAAAAAAATTTATTTATTTATTTGGAAGTCAGAGTTATACAGAGAGAGGAAAGTCAGAGAGAGGTGTCTTCCACTGGTTCACTCCCCAATTGGCTGCAATGGACAGAGCTATGCCGATATGAAGCAAGGAGCCTCTTCCGGCTCTCCCATGCGGTGCAGGGGCTCAAGAACCTGGGCCATCTTCTACTGCTTTCCCAGGTTACTGCAGCAAGCTGGATCAGAAGTGGGTCAGCCAAGACTGGAACCAGCGCCCATATGGGATGCCAGCACTGCAGGCGGTGGCTTTACCCGCTATGCCACAGCGCCGGCCCCAAGGGGTTTGACATTTTAAGATGTTTTTCATTTCTTTTTTTTTTTTTTTTGCTAAGATACAGCAGTCATTTTTATTTAAAGAGCTATTTCAATAAAAACCATAGATTTCCAAGCATTAAAAAGTAATTTAACTTTGCCATCACCAATAACCAAGAAATCTTTTTTTAAAAAAATATACAATATTGACCAGAAAAACATAGAATACATAATGTTAAAGAGAGAAAAAGTCAAAACAGAGAAATTCAAATTGTGGTCATAATTAGTTCTATTAAACGATTGACCAATTTTTATCATTAAGGAGGTTATAGGGAAGCTACCAAAGTGAACTTCAAAAGCCTAGCAGTAAAAGTGATTGTAATGTCAATAAAACTCTGAAACATATCAAATAACTGCTAAGTAGTACTAATCCACTGTGTCTTTGAACCTGTATATGCCTTTTTAAAGCTGATGTTTTTCATTTCATGTATTTTAATTGATAATAGTAAATATATGTCTCATATCGTATTTATGTTTCTGATTCAATTATAAAACTGAAATTTGTATTTATTCACAAATAATGAGCATGATTAGTATTCCTAAATAATTACCCTTAAAGGCACACAAGACTAACTCTAGAGCAGCACTACTTCATAACTAAAGTATTTATCATTTTGAATTAATTTTTATGTACTTTGCATGTTTCAAATTCTTCCTTATTTTATATACTTTATATGTAATTTTAAAATGATGTTTTTAGCTAGTTTCAGTATTTTCAGAATTTCCATATTTATTGAAGCACCAAAGAAATTATAAAATTGCTTCATATTTTTTTAAACTTTTATTTAATGAATATAAATTTCCAAAGTACAGCTTATGGATTACAATGGCTTCCCCACCATAACGTCCCTCCCACCCGCAACCCTCCCCTTTCCCACTCCCTCTCCCTTTCCATTCACATCAAGATTCATTTTCGTTTCTCTTTATATACAGAAGATCAGTTTAGCATACATTAAGTAAAGATTTCAACAGTTTGCTCCCACACAGAAACATAAAGTGACAAATACTGTTTGAGTACTAGTTATAGCATTAAATCTCAATGTACAGCACACTAAGGACAAAGATCCTACATGAGGAGTAAGTGCACAGTGACTCCTGTTGTTGACTTAACAAATTGACACTCTTGTTTATGGCATCAGTAATCACCCTAGGCTCTTGTCATGAGCTGCCAAGGCTATGGAAGCCCCCTGAGTTCACTGACTCTGATAATTTTTAGACAAGGCCATGGTCAAAGTGGAAGTTCTCTCCTCCCTTCAGAGAAAGGTACCTCCTTCTTTGATGACCCGTTCTTTCCACTGGGATCTCACTCGTGGAGATCTTTCATTTAGTTGTTGTTGTTGTTGTTGTTGTTGTTGTTTTTCGCCAGAGTGTCTTGGCTTTCCATGCCTGAAATACTCTCATGGGCTTTTCAGCCGGATCCGCATGCCTTAAGGGCTGATTCTGAGGCCAGAGTGCTGTTTAGGACATTTGCCATTCTATGAGTCTGCTGTGTATCTCACTTCCCATGTTGGATCATTCTCTCCCTTTTTGATTCTATCAGCTAGTATTTGCAGACACTATTCTTGTTTATGTGATCCCTTTGGTTCTTAGTCCTATCATTATGATCAATTGTGAACAGAAATTGATCACTGGGACTAGTGAGATGGCATTGGTACATGCCACCTTGATGGGATTGAATTGGAATCCCCTGGTATGTTTCTAACTCTACCGTTTGAGGTAAGTCAGCCTGAGCATGTCCCGAATTGCACATCTCTTCCCTCTCTTATTCCCACTCTTATATTTAACAGTGATCACTTTTCAGTTAAGTTTCAGCATTTAATTAGAATTGTGTATTGATTACAGTATTCAACAAAAGTATTAAGTAGAACAAACAAAAAAAATACTAAGAGGGATAACATATCAAGTTGCTCATCAACAATCAGGGTGAGGGCTGATCAAGTCACCGTTTCTCACAGTGTTCATTTCACTTTAACAAGTTTCCTTTTTGGTGCTCAGTTAGTTGTCACCTATCAAGGAGAACAAGTGGTATTTGTCCCTTCGGATTGGCTTATTTCACTCAACATAATGTTTTCCAAATTCCTAACAGGGATCACATTTCAGTTAAAATTTAAACACCTAAGAATAATTTTGTGTTAATTACAGAGTTCAACCAATAGTACTAGAACAAAAAAAATACTAAAGTGGATAAAGTATTACATTGTACATCAACCGTCAGGACAAGAGCTGATCAAGTCACTGTTTCTCATAGTGTCCATTTCATTTCAACAAGTTTCCCCTTTGGTGCTCCGTTAGTTGTCGCCGATCAGGGAGAACATATGATATTTGTCCCTTTGGGACTGGCTTAATTCACTCAGCATGATGTTTTCTAAATTCCTCCATCTTGTTTCAAATGACTGGGTTTCGTTGTTTTTGACTGCTGTATAGTATTCTATAGAGTACATATTTTTAAGTAAAATGATAGTGAAGAATAAGGATTCTGTTGCCTGAATGATAGCTAACAATGAAAGAATAAAAAGTGAACATCATATAATTATTTATTGTAAGCTTGTTCCAAAAAATGGTTCCTGATGCTTTCATCGGCATAATTTTCTGACACTTTCCTTTCAAAGACATAATTTTAAAATGCTAGATGATTTATGAAAAAAAATGGAGTATTTTGATGCTTTAAGCAAAATGACAAGTGTATATGATGGTATGATTTAACTTAATTGTTTTATGCATAACCAGTTAGTAAATTTTGAGTTTCATACAGCTTTTATTTGTGTTTATTCTAAGAACATTTTATTAGTAATACAAGATTTTCACATGTGAAGTTTTTAAAACCTATTTTTTTCATTATAGAAACACCAGCTGCATTTCCTGACACTATAAAGGAAAAGGAAGCACCAACTCCTGGTGAAGATATTCAGCTAGAAAGTTCAATTCCTCATACAGATTCAGGGATTGGAGAAGAGCAGGTGGCTAGCATCCTGAATGGGGCAGAATTAGAGCCTAGTGCAGGTCCTGATGCCATGAGTGAACTCTTATCCACTTTGTCATCTGAAGTAAAGAAATCACAGGAGAGCTTAACTGAAAATCCCAATGAATTATTGAAGCCTGCACCATCCATATCTAGCATAAGTCAAACCAAAGGCATCAATGTCAAAGAAATATTGAAAAGTCTTGTGGCTGCCCCAGTGGAAATTGCAGAATGTGGCCCTGAACCTATCCCATACCCAGATCCAGCATTGAAGAGAGAAGCGCAAGCTATTCTTCCTATGCAGTTTCATTCCTTTGACAGGTAGGTACTGAACTTTTTATTTAAGGTGTTCTATATGTAGAAATAAAATTAGGCACTGTTAACTTAAAAATATTAGGAAGTTCTCCAAAAAATATATATTAATACAGATTCTTATCAAAGTGACTACTCAACATGATTGATCTAATAAGGTATTTTTATAATACAATCTCAAAAAGGTAGTCTCATATGAAATGATCAACAACATGTTGATTTAGAAATAGGGTAATCTGAATTTGGATTATTGTCCATCATTGAAGTGCTAAAGTACCTTGGGGAAGTCATTCTTCTCTTTGGTTAGTTTTACATATAAAATGGGGAACAGGGAAGGGCAGATATTTGGCCTAGAAATTAAATGCATATTAGTATGCCCATATCATGCATTCAAATACCTTGGTTCAGTCTGCAGCTACAACTCCTAATTCCAGCTACCTGTTAATGCAGACCCTGGGTGGCAGCGGAAATGTCTCAAATAGCTGGGTTGCTAACCCCCACACAATAAACCTAGATTGAGTACCCAGCTCCTGAGTTCAGCCCTGACCCATTCTGGCTACTGTGGGCATTTACAGAGTCAATAAGAGATGGGTCTGTATCTCTCTCTCTCCCTCTCTCTCTGTCTCGCTTTCTCTTCTCCCAAACCCTCTGCCTCTCAAATATAAAAATATATTTTTTAAAAAATCTGGGAAGAAGGAGCTGGTGCTGTGGCACAATGGGTTAATGCCCTGGTGTGAGGCGCCAGCATCCCATATGGGCGCTGGTTCTAGTCCTGGCTACTCCACTTCCAATCCAGCTCTCTGCTATGACCTGGGATAGCAGTAGAAGATGGCCCAAGTCCTTGGGCCCCTGCACCCACCCATGTGGGAGACCCAGAAAAAGCTCCTGGCTCCTGGCTACGGATTGGTGCAGCTCCAGCCCTTGCGGCCAATTGGGGAGTGAACCAGCAGATGGAAGACCTCTTTTCTCTCTGTCTCTCTCTGTCTCTCTCTGTCATTCCTCTCTGTGTAACTATAACTTGCAAATAATTAAATAAATCTTTAAAAAGTAAAAAAATTAAAAATCCGGGAGGAGATACAGAGTTTTTATTGATGATCTAAAATTCATTATACTATGCCATAATAATTGATAGAGATTAAATAACTCTTTAAAATTTGTTTTAAATAGAAAAAATGAAATTATGTTATCTTTTTAAATAGTATTTCCGTTATCAATTTAAAAGCCAAATTTTGGGGAATGTATTTGAAATTAAATATTATTGAAAGGCATTTTGACATGTAATTCTGATCTAATTATAACACTAGCTGTGTATCTGCATTCAGTTAAGTCAACAAGTAGTTTTTTTAGGAAGAGCTAATAATTCTTTTCTGTTCAAGTACACATTCAATAAAAATGATAGTTTATAGAAGCAAAATATTTTAGTGTCAGAAAACCCTTGTGTGTAATATATCCACTATTTAAAAATGTACAACATTGGTAAATATTTTTGTACTCACTAATTACTAACAGTATTATTTATGTTTGACCACTAGAATTGATGCATATTCCAAATTATGTTTTCATGTTAATGTATAAACTGAAGGATGTATTGTTCTACCATCCATGTTATTGATGTTTATGCACATTTTCTTATAATAATTTTTATACATTTAGGAAGTTATTGATAAACAAGTAGGCTTTTTTTTAGAGTGACAAAATCAAGTTAGGAAATCAAATGATTTTTAAACTGGAATTTCAAAATACATATGTAGTCAAAATTTGTTCCATGTTTTTTTCTCTGAAATAGCCAAACTGCTTTATTCTAACAAAAAAACAATCATATTTTTTAGAGTTTAGGGGTAGAGATTTGGCAGTAAAACCTTTTCATAGGTTAAGGTATCCTTTGCATAGACAAATGTAACTTAAAAAGTTCCGTATCATCAATTCAACCAATGTTTTACAGATATTTCTGAACATTTGTTGTTAACATATACATGGCAGTAGTTATCATGTGGGGTATAAAGATGAATAAAATCATTTTTCTTCTATCAACTTAGAGAGGTAAGATGTTTGCAAGTAATTGTCATAAAAGATAGGATGTATCCGAAGTTTTCAAAAGTTGGCAAAAGGGAGAACATGTAGGAAAATACTATTCTTTTAAAAGTATAGTTCATGTTAATATTATGTTTGGTTATTCATTCATACAGTGAATATCCCTTGGATGTCCCTTATGTCATTTCACAGTGATGTGCTCGGTTTCACACATTGCTTTATGTTCCCATAATATGTGTTTATGAGTTTGTTTAAACATATGCATGTAAGTACAAGTACTTCTCTATATCTATAAATCTATTTCTATAAATAGATTTCTATAAAACCTTTAAATAGATTTCTATACAAATAATTTAATTTAGAGTCATTAAAGTTTTGGATTCCATTTTGTTTTCAGTTGTATCTTTAAATATTGTTAATAGACAAACAGTAAGTACAGAGAACTGTTGTGATTTGTTTATGAGAGGCCAATGAAATAAAGCTTAAGTAAAATATTTTTGTTATAATTTGGATTACTGTTAGAACTAATTTTTTTTTCATTAAAACTTAACAAAGAAATCACCTGAGTGCTAGCTACTCTCACTTTTGAGAATATTGCTTAAAAGGAAAGAACTTTCCATTTTTTTCTGGTAGCATTTGTGCAAAATGCAATGAAAGTAGAATCATTATTCTAAATTGCATAAGTTGAAATGAAATAGAAGAGCACAAAGCATATTTCAGTTCTTTTTAGGAAAAGGGTCTCCAGTGTAGTTAATATATGCAGTAGCTCAAGTACTATCAAATGTAAATGATGAGGTGATACTGATGAAAGGAGGGGATTGAGGTCTCAGGGGGCGCTGATGACGGATTGAACAGAAGCGGCCTTGCACTGCACGTAACTCAAGTCTGTCGTCTTCACTGCTCAAAGCCATAATGGGAGGTGGCAGTCTGAAATGAGTTGCCACGGCAAAGAGTATTATTTTTGAAATGCTTTCACACAAATCACTAGGCCCTGCATACAACTTAGTTTCATGCTTTAATGTCATCAGGAGGCACAAATTGGTGTGTCTAATTGTTTGCCACCTGCCAGCAAAATGAGCTGCCAGCCAGCCAGACGGGTTTGATTGTCTGTCAGCCATTCAATAGATTGAGAGTGACAACATCAAAAATTTAACTTCAAACTCTGAAGCTTTGAGCAGCTTTTCGGAGACACCAACCCCACAAGTGCTTCTGGACCACTGCATTTTTCAATTATATTTCCAGTATATTGCTACCATTTGCGTTATCTGTCTTAAGGTAGTTATAATTACATTATGAGGTATATAAACACATTTCTGAATTACTGAAGTCTGAAAGCCAAGTTATGACATGTCTTTTAACATCAGATTGAATTTCTTGAAAATCGTATCCACAATGACAGGCTTTAGAATGAAAGTCCTGAAAGCTACTAGTTTTAAACACAGAATTAGTGTGGGTCTTAACCAAAAATGCATTTTTAAAATTTTTGTCTTTGGATATAAACTCAGATGCTCTGTTCTTTGTAACTGAATCATACTTCATAATAATCCTGTGTTGCCCATTGGAAACCATATAGGCTTTACTTTTGTTAGTTAATTGTTTATTAATTGTATTACAAGCATGCTAATTATGTATTCTTTATATTCCATATTGTATATTCAGAAATAGCTTTCTAAAACAATGGATGCTATCCATGTGGCATTTATTTGTGTTCTACATAGTTTTGTTTTTTTTTTTTTTACCAATTAAGATGTAACATTGATTAATTTCAGTACTTTGAAGTTTTTATGATTTTTATTAAGTATGTTGCAATATCAAATGTTAGAAATGATTACAGTTAACTGAGTTAATGGTTTTTTTGTCTTTTAGTATTAAAATAAATTTTTAAATGGACTATATGAACAACATCATATAAATGGTTTTATCTGTATAAAGTACAGAACCTTTTTGTTTTCAGTTTCTCCATTCCTATGTGCATATTTCCACATATTTCCTTGATTGTACTGAATGCTCATAACTACTATGTATTTATGAAGTGTCAAAATGCTAGAGTTATGCTAATACCATTCTATATTGAGGACACACTGTGTACAGAGAGAAAATACAGTTAGGAAACTGTAATAGTTTTTTGGAATTCTATTACTATCAGGTAAAAAGAAATAATTTATGATGATGTCATTTCTAACAGAAAAACTCAGTAATTTCATCTTATAATTTATAAATCAAAGTGCAGAGTTCCCCAATGATACTATCTCTCTAGATAAATTTCTATATAGACCTACGATTTATTAAATATCCTTGCTGGGCTGTTATTTTTCTTGTATTAACAACTGTATGATTTCAAGCTGGAGGTAATACTTTTCTCTAAAACAACCAGTTAATCCTTACCCTATCTTTTATACTAAAATTTTAATCCTGTATATCTACATGCTTTTCATCTTTTGAGGACTTACTATCTATCTGTGATTTGGCTTTTTCTTAAATTTCAAGACTTTCCTGATATCCTCCTTCATTTGAATAAAAGACAAAAAATAAACAAAGCAAGCAAAGGGCAGTGTGCTTCTCTGGGCATTTTAACTGTTAATGTATTTCAGGAATTATATTAAATCTGACATGTGACATAAAGCTTACAATTATGCTGTTTCTTTAGCTAACAAAAATCTTATATATTTTGTATTTTAGGTTTTTTTATTTTTACAGTCAATTATGTTCAAATTAATGGCTAGTATTTTTCCTCAAAAGTTAATCCTTGCTTCTGAAAGTTTCATTCTATTAAAAAGACTATTTCTGAAATAAAACATATTTTGTAAATAATATAAGACTAAAAAACAATATAAATTTTGTATTTTTAAAACTGAGTGTAGGCTTTAACTTAATTTGTTCCTTTTAATTTCATTAGTTTTTAATATTAGTTTTCATGATAAAGATGGAAATTCTGGGTAAATAATAAAGAAATGTTCAGTAAGGTTGATGGATCATCC